TCCACTGAATCAGTCACAGGTGGGGCTCGTAGACTACTAAGTGATAAGTGGATAAGGTATGCAGGTGATTCTGATGTGTCCATTTTGTATTTGTAAGTTTCGCGTTCTAATAAAACATTAGGGGTCTCGACTAACAATCTGCGGGTCGCGGGTTCGAATCCCCGAAACATGCTCACCCGGTGTCCAGACTAGGACGCTAGTCCTACTCCCTGATACTCACCTCCAACAGAATTTGGAGGTGTGAGAAACACCATACGAAACCTCTACCTGTGAGAAGAAAGAACCCAAATATTAAATCATCATTTTGATTACATCAATAGAGCTTAATAATAAAACGTACAAACGATAAACACAATTTAAATATGTCATAACAATGAAAGTCAATTATTTGTATCTTATCCGCAGATAACTCCATGGCGCCCACAACGACAGTGAACGTTGAAGACTCTCCAGATGAAGAATCTTCTAGTCACTGCAGTGCCCTATTATGTGCATCGTATTTTCTAGGGGCGTTAGCTTGTTGCCTGATCATGGGAGGGATCTTTCTAGCTTTCTACCGATGGGATTACATGTGGCTTATCGTATCTATGATTGGTGCAATCCTAGTACTCATTGGATCGGGGATTCACTTCTGTGGCTCCAAAACCAAAAATAAGAGTCGGCAGAAAGTGAAACCAAGAAGACCGACAATAAAACATAACCAGAGCCTCACGGAACAGCTAATTCCATCGGCTCCTCCTCTAAATAATGCCTGTTCCGCCAGTCAGCTTTCTCTCAATGTGTTACCTCCATATTTCTCTGCATTCGACACGGTTTCGGTAGTTTCTAATCAACCCGAGCCATCAGCTCCAATACTAAAGATCAATGGTCAGAATTATCTGTTATTTTCCGTTAACTGTGACCTGTCCAACGCTGACGCCCAGAGTATTGTTGCCAGGCTGAGTACAGTTCTTTCAAACAGTACTATGGACCTTCTGTGGTAAGATATATATATATATATTGTTGCCAGGCTGAGTACAGTTCTTTCAAACAGTACTATGGACCTTCTGTGGTAAGATATATATATATATATACTCGCTGAATACCTTTGTGCAAGATAGTAATAATAAAATACTAATTGTAGTAGCAATAATAATTACACATATGATAAGTACTTCGAAATTTCATTTCCATTTAATATTATTCTGTAACTAAATTTATAAATTAGTGTCAAAATCTATTTCATCTCAATTCATGTTCCATACATAAATGTTTCGTAGACACTGTATTAATGTTTAGAATTTTGTTGTGTATTGTGTCTGGTATTGTATTGTTTTAAGGTTTAGTTGTGTGTTACGTCCATTATTATATTGTTTTAAGGTTTATTTGTGTGTTATGCCCATTATTATATTGTTTTGGGGTCTTGTTGTGTGTTATGTCCATTATTATATTGTTTTGGGGTTTTGGTGTGTGTTATGTCCATTATTATATTGTTTTGAGGTTTTGTTGTGTGTTATGTCCATTATTATATTGTTGTGTGTTATATCCATTATTATATTGTTTTGGGGTTTTGGTGTGTGTTATGTCCATTATTATATTGTTTTGAGGTTTTGTTGTGTGTTATGTCCATTATTATATTGTTTTGGGGTTTTGTTGTGTGTTATGTCCATTATTATATTGTTTTGAGGTTTTGTTGT